TAAATTCTCACTTTTTTTTCATTTGACTAAAAATAAAATTTTCACTTCTTTTCTTCTAATAAAAAGAATGAACGAGAGACATAGGTGTACCTAAATCGCTAATGCGTGAGTTAGAAAATTGACTCGGCTAAATGTCTGTCCTTTGTACGCCTCAAGGTCTCAAGGACCTGAAGACAGCCGAAATGATGACCGATCAACAACTGCAGTCCCATACGATGTGTGCCCTCTGCAGTAAGTCTCCTTGGATAAAGTTTTTCTTTTTTTGCAAAAATTGCTACTTACTGATGTCAGTATACTCACTTTCTTGTATCGAACAAGCAACATATATAGTTTTTATTTAATTATTGATCAACTTCATATGACTGATGCATTATCCTATAGAAATATGAGTAATTTTGAAGTAAACATGTAACACCCATCCACACACACACCCGCACCTCTCACGCATCCGCACCCGCACTCAAACCCGAACTCGAAATCGCTCTATGTGATGGGGAGCATTGAGAGTTTGTACGTATTTGAATGTTTGCCGATATTTACTCCCTATTGGTGAAGTGGGGACCCATAACACCCATACTAAGACCATACCATATTGCCCTAATCGAAATTCTCAATGTTTAATCTTCGACTTTTCTGTACACTACATTCATTTGGAATCTAACAAAGCAACTTTAGCAACTTTAGCCTTCAATAATACTCCATACTTGTATAAGAAGAACTTTAGCGCATCTATCTTCATGAGTTGCTTAGCATATTTGAACTGAGTTGGCACTTTCCCGTGAAAAAATGGATGAAAAATTGAAATGCAATTACAACTGGGAAGATCTTTCCCGAACAAAAAAAACATTTGAGAAGATCTTTCCCGGGCAAATAAGATAGTTTCCAACTTAAACTTATTAATTGTCCGGTCAGCATTTAAAACGATACGTATTTAGGCAGTGTTCCATTCGATTTATTTTTTCTGATTATTACCCATTCTTATTATAATCAAATCAGGCCAGATCTTCAAAAAATCTGCAGGCTTAGTTGATTTGGCAATTAATATTGTAAATATGTGCATTTCTGGAAAGAATTAACTTCAATTGTTAAATACTTAAATTGCGAAGTATTAACATAAAATCATTCACTTCTTGGAGTATTCTTGTGATTTTTTTCTGTTTTTTCGAAGTAAATTTTGCGTAGCTTTTAATGTAAGAGTGTCAAAATTTCTGAAACCAAACCAGCAAACCTCAAAATTAAACTGTCTGAAATTTCTGAATAAAAAAGTAATTTAAATCGAATTCAAGAAGAAGAAGAAAGAAGAGACCTCTGGTGATGTGAGGCGTGGATCTGGGCACAGAAGGCTTCAACATCTGGAGGAGATGACATATCATAAAGCCCAAAAGCTTCGTAGAGCGGGTTGGCCGGAGTCGGGCCCACATATCCGCCGCCGGGGAGAACGCCGGCGTTCCTCTTCTTGATCTCCGGCGGAAGATCGAACAGAGATCTCACCACTTCTTTCATCTCCATCGCGAGCGACGGCGGGAGGATGCTGTTATGGTTGTACACCCTGAAGCAGCCCCACTCCTGGCATGCCTCAATCAGCTTTCTTGATCTCGCCGGAGTTGAGCCGCCGTCTTGCAAGTCTATCGCCGGCGGCGACGTATTTTCGCCGCAGCAGCTGCCCATTTCACTGACTAGGCCTCGGTCCACTTTTAGGGCTTCTCCAAAGCTTAATGCAGTGTTTGGGGCTAGGTAGAGTTAGGGAGGTAAACAAATCAAATATTTTAAATTCGATTCGCGATTTATATTCCAATATGATGATTCGAATTCGCGATATTCAAATACAAATTCAAATTCAAATATTATTTTTGATTCGAATATTAATCAAATACAAATACAAATAAGGATATATTCGATTCGGATGATATTCGAATATATGTTTATATACACAGACCATGTTTTCAACATCAAAAGTCAAGCAAAGTAATATAGTATAAAGTGTATTTAAAATACACAGAATTCAATAAATTAACGTAATACGAAAATCTAAAGCATATGATTTTTAATAGTTATATTTTATAAAATATAATTTGTGTAAGATGCAGATGTATTAATGTTTTTATATACGGAATATAGTATAGTATAAAGGATATCGTAAGTTAAATTACAAATTGACGTTGGTCCATCATATAAATTACATAGTATGATTATTCAAATATTCGTTTATGATTCGATAACTATTCGAATATTAATCAAATACTTATTCAAATCTTATTTTGAATTCGTCTCATATTCGAGTTCGGATTCAAATTTGAAAAAATTAAATAAATACAAATTCAAATATATCGGTATTCGCTTCGATTCGGTTCGCTTACACCCCAAGGTAGAGTGAGGTAATTTTTACCCTTTACCTGGTTTGGGAAGAAAAACGGGTTAGGTCAGCGGAGGTAGATAGAGGTAATCTTACCTCCGAACAGTGTTTTTTTCGTGACCGCCAATTTGGCGAACTGCTTAGGTAATTAATTTTCGTTCCCTACTCTGCCCTTCTCGTATTCTCCGGCTTTGCATACGCCGGACACCGCTCCTTCCTCTCCCATCGAAGATCCCGGACGATGCTAGAGCCGGTGCGACGATCTCCCTCTCTCATCGCCGATCTTCCTCTGCCGCTCGACGATCTTCCTCTGCCGCAACTTTCCAGCTCCTCTTCCGATGCAGGTTTTCTCTCCCTTCGTGTATTGAATTTTTTTTGCAAGTCTTCGTGTATTGATTTTTTTTTTGCTTTTTTTTGTTTCCAAGTCTTCGTGTATTGATTTTTTTTGCTTTTCTTTTTTTTTCTGTTTCCAAGTCTTCGGGTATTAAATTTTTTTGCTTTTCTTTTTTTCTGTTTTTTTTTATGCTATTTTTTTTTCTAATTATTGAAATATCTTGCTTTTTCTGGTTTTTTAATGTTTTTTTCGGTTTTGTTTTTCAATTTTCTTGGAGGGGTTTTTTTGCTATTTTTTTGGTTTTTTTCGTTGTATTTTTTTGTTGCTTTTTTTTTGTTTTTTCGTTTTTTTTGCTATTTTTTCTTGTTTTTTTGCTGTTACACAAATATTTGCTACGTGGGGATCCTGACGAGGCTTGGACTCCTGATGATGACGTAGAAGAGAATGAGAGTGAAACACGTAATAAAGAAAAAAAAGCAAAAGGGCATTTAAGTAATTTTATTGTTTTACCTACCTCACATTACCTACTAAATATCCAAACACAAATTTTCAACATATTACCTTCAATTACCTACATTCAATTAGCTACCTTCAATTACATACTTAATAAAATTTTACCTACCTCAATCCAAACATACCCTAAACCAAAGTTTAATAAGGGGATCGGCTATCTTCTGCCAAACTAATCACTCTAACATTACCGCAGTGAATTCTATTCAGACCATGTTTTCTACTCCCTCTATTCCACAAAAAGTTCCCATTTTGACCATAAATTGATCAAAAAGTTACATACTTTGATCATAAATTAAATATAATCTAAATTAAGAAATGCTAAAAATTTTGAGATATCAAAACTAGATCTTAACATGAATCCAATTATATTAAATTTATTTTATAATTCAATATACCTTCCTCACAATTTGTAGTCAAAGCGTGTAAATATTTAACTAAATACTATTCAAAATGAGAATTTTTTTGTGGGACAGATATACTACCTACTACACATTTATTCTTGTCCCTATCTACAACCAACTTGTATATATACACTTTGTCAATTGTATTTTACCATATATTGTATTTTAGCATTTGTTTTACCCTCTCCCTTGGAGTGTCAAAAAATTAACTACAAAGTGTAAATTGTGTAAATTTTAGCATATAGCCTCTATACTGGAGATGCTCTCACTTTAACTACCTAATAAAATTTTATTACCTCAAAACTATTCAAACTACAGGTTTGATTACGAGTTATGACACCTTACTCAAATTAGGGACTGTTTGGTAACTTCTGAATGGGTAAGTGATGAACCAGTAAGAGGTCTGAACCATTAAGTGCTGAACCAGTAAGAGGTCTGAACCATTAAGAGCTAGTATATTGTTTAACTATTCAGAGGCAAATGTCTGATCAATTCAGATAAGAGCTCTTAACCATTCAGACTCTGTATAATACTTAACCATTCAGAGGCAAATCTCTTAACCATTCAGACATCTGAACCATTAAGAGGCTGAAACAAACAG